GTTCTCAGTATAGTGACCCCAATATGTAGGAAGATGTTCTATATATGATCAACTGGTTCTCAGTATAGTGACCCCAATATGTAGGAAGATGTTCTATATATGATCAACTGGTTCTCAGTATAGTGACCCCAATATGTAGGAAGATGTTCTATATATGATCAACTGGTTCTTATTATAGTGACCCCAATATGTAGGAAGATGTTCTATATATGATCAACTGGTTCTCATTATAGTGACCCCAATATGTAGGAAGATGTTCTATATATGATCAACTGGTTCTTAGTACCCAGTTGATCATATATAGAACATCTTCCTACATATTGGGGTCACTTTCTCAGTATAATGACCCCAATATGTAGGAAGATGTTCTATGAATGTTCAATGAGAACACAGAAGTTATTTCCGGTTTCATATTCTGGACTGAGACTAGTGTTAATTAATTGTCATTCAAATATGACCTTTGATGGCGATATGATGAATCTCAACATGATGTTCGAGTGAAAGAACATAATTCTATATATATTTAAGTGTACTTGTAATTAATCAACTGTCTTGGTTATTTAATGTTTTATACTATTATCATATCGGGGAAAATTTGAGAATAAGCTATTTTATCAGTTTTCTTTATATTTTCATAAATAATTGGTAATATTGACTAACCTGCATTGTTCTCGCACATATATGTAAAAGTAACTTTCAGAATTTCAATAGTTTATATAAAAAACAATTTCGGTAAATGTAAAAACAAAGACTTTGAAAGTGAAAATAATAACCCCAGCTTCCAGACAAGAGTATGATAAGCTCCTAGTTATCATGTGTACAGAGATCCACTAGTTGTCGATATTCATTTCATGGTATATATGGATCACAAGGAATTTTTGTTTTCGCTCTGTTATTCAAACCCATATCCTCATAAGAAGTAACTTACCATCAAAATCAACAGTCCCACTGCCATCAGTATCAATTTCTGCAATCATTTCGTCCAGTTCATCTTCGGTGAGCTTATCATCCAAGGCCCTGAGGATGTCTCTGAGGTCCGATACGTTAATGTATCCTTGGCTTTCCTTGTCGTACATTCTAAAAGCCTCTCGAAGTTCCTCTTGCATGGCTTCAGCGTCTTCTTCAACCAGAAACTTGGCTGCTAGGGCCACGAACTCCTCGAACTCCAACTCCCCGCTGCCTAAAGTGTTAAACATCCTAAAATCCGTCAGTACGCAAAAGAACATTAGATGATTTGTTTATATAACAATAAACACAATAGATTAACTTACTTTTTTTTTTATTAATGTGTTGTTTTAGAGTGTATAAAAGTAGGAACATATTATACCTAAATATATTAGATTTTTAACATTTCAAGGATTTTATGGAAAGCTATTGCTTTCAAATTTATCCCGAAGTACAATAACAATAATGTATTTTTAACCAGTTTTCTTTTTGTTGACTTGGTGTTAGTCCCACATTTAACCAGTTTTCTTTTTGTTGACTTGGTGTTAGTCCCACATTTAACCAGTTTTCTTTTTGTTGACTTGGTGTTAGTCCCACATTTAACCAGTTTTCTTTTTGTTGATTTGGTGTTAGTCCCACATTTAACCATTTTCTTTTTGTTGACTTGGTGTTAGTCCCAAATTTAACCGGTTTTATTTCTGTTGACTTGGTGTTAGTCCCAAATTTAACCAGTTTTCTTTTTGTTGATTTGGTGTTAGTCCCACATTTAACCGGTTTTATTTCTGTTGACTTGGTGTTAGTCCCAAATTTAACCAGTTTTCTTTTTGTTGACTTGGTGTTAGTCCCACATTTAACCGGTTTTATTTCTGTTGACTTGGTGTTAGTCCCACATTTAACCAGTTTTCTTTTTGTTGACTTGGTGTTAGTCCCACATTTTACCAGTTTTCCTTTTGTTGACTTGGTGTTAGTCCCACATTTTACCAGTTTTCCTTTTGTTGACTTGGTGTTAGTCCCACATTTAACCAGTTTTATTTTGTTGACTTGGTGTTAGTCCCACAAAAGTAAAGTACGGATTCAGTTTCTCAAACAATCTCGACTGAGCTCTATGAAAACACGTTATATTTCTTAAAATAAATGAAATTAAGTTAATTTAACTATCCAAATAAGTCTAATCAGTTAATCCGGAATATGCTTTGTCAAAGGAAGTAAAATAAAGATATCCAGATTCTTCTGTATAAAAGATAATTCTCTATTGAGCTTTGTCAAAGTAAATAGGTCAAATAAACATATGTTAAGTGTCAGTGACGACAATTATGGATTCAGTTGTATGATAACAAATAATCTGGATATCTGGAACATTCTTTCTGAGCCAGTAATAGAAAAAGCTCTCTGATATCAATTGTTTTATTTGTTTGTTTGTTGTTAAGCAAAAATCTACACAATGGGTTATCTGAGCTGTGCTCACCATGGGTATCGAAACCCGGTTTTTAGTGTTATAATCCTTCACTGGGCCACTGGGAGGACATCTGCTTTCAAGGCCTGAGAAAGTTGAAAAATGTTTCTTTAATATGAACCCTTTTTATAAACACTTTCAAGTTTTCATTTAGATACCAGAGAGACCTTTCAAACAGTGCTTACCATCCTGGTCAATTTCGGAAATTAGGTCTTTCAGATCCTTTTCCTCAAAGGTCTGACCGAGAGTCCTCAGAATGGTGGACACCATGTTGGTATGGATGACTCCTTTCTTGTCCCGGTCAAACATGTCGAAAGCTTTTCTCAACACTGTAAAATAATAACTTACTTTAGAAATTCCAGTAATATATGCTAGTCCATATATTATTGAAAACTAGTGTTTTAATTAACACATTTTTTCATGTTTTTTGGAAATACATTACTGTGTAATAACCCTAATTAGTGAAATATAATTCCTGATTAGGCTTACAGACATCTACTAAACCATGAATAGTGTTTTGTTTTGTTATTAAAGCAAAGCCACATTGAGTTATCAACTGTGTCCACTGCGGGGTATCGAATTTCGTAGTTGAGCGTTGTAAGTCCGTAGAAGGACCCCACCCCTATATAATTTTTTTATTTTATTTCGCGCAAAGTTACACGAGGGCTATCTGCGCTAGCCGTTCCTAATTTAGCAGTGTAAGACTAGCGGGAAGGCAGCTAAGTCATCACCACCCACCGCCAACTTTTGGGCTACT